CCTGCTATCTTCTTCTTTTTTTTTTCTTAACATATATTGTATTATTTGTTTCAGAGGTACAGATCTGTGATTCAACAGTCTTGCACAATTCACAGCATTCACCATAGCACATACCCTCCCCAATGTCTATCACCCAAGGAGTTTTTAATTATGTGGGGAAATGCTTATGATGCAGTGCTAAGTAAAACAATACAAATTTATATGTAATATTCTAACTATGTTTATTACACACCTGATGCAAAAAAATTTTTTTAAATACCAGAAATTTTAGCTAAGGGAAAGCATGAAAGGAAGGATGGTAGTCCTAAAATGGAAGCCAGAGGGAGCTACCCAAGTTGAAGTAGGTGCAGGAGCAGTCTATTGTTTGTTTGCTGAGAATCAATTACAGGAGGTTTTTTCAGCCTCAGTGTTTTCAGAAAACAAATTCTTTAAACTTGTCACCATGGATTTTCCATGTGAACTTCAACTCCCTACTTCTTACTCCCACGCCCTCCACTTCCCCTCCCCACGCTGGCCCCTGGCCTCTGCAGGAGCTGAAGGAGGCCTCGATTTTGGGATTGTGAAGGTCATGGAAGAGGCAAAGCAGCCCCTGCAACTGAAGAACCGTGGGAAGTATGAGATCATGTTCAGGTAACCTGGAAACCATCACGCATATGGTCATCTACTTCCGCTGATGGGAAGAAAAGTGTTGTCTGGGTGATAAAAAACAGAAACTTGATTGAGGAAATCGTAAGAACCATCTCTGCTTGTAGCCTCTCTCAGGCTTCAAATGAATGGAATTCCAACTGCTAAGAGCAGGGATTTTCACACTGCTTTCAACTCTGTGGCTTTACAGGAACCCTTAAAGTCCCTCTCAAAGCACCCGGAGCCACAGGGATCTGAGGGTGGGAGAGAGACTCAGAGGGAGAGGTCGGGAGGAAGAAGTCCTAGGTGAGGGGAGGTCCTGTGGGTGGAAGGAGAGACTAGAGATGGGGACCTGGCCTTCAGCTGTCCTGCCCTCCTTTTGGCTCCTATCTGTTTTGTAAGTTGGCATTCCACATAAGATTTCATGTGAAAAAGAGGGATTTTTCCAATTTTCTTTTTTTAATACTAAGAACCACTGTGTTATAGAACCCAAATGGTGGCCTGATGGAATGGAGCTCCAGCTTGTGCTCATCTCTTGAGATGAAAAATGAAGCACTAAATAAGAGATTTCTCAGAGAGGAAAGGGTGGTGCTGGGTGGGGAGAGGGAGGAGGTCACCCAGGCAGGGCCACACAACCCTTAGAGGCAGTGCCAGCAGCCATGGCCAATCTATTCTATGGAAGATGATCCTTCTCCTGGAAGAATTTGCAGTTGATAAAGGGACTCCCCCCTCACAGACTTAGAAGAAATTCCGTGCATTCATGATAGCTTCATTTCAGCTAAAAGAAGGCTGAAGTGAGAGAGGTCCTACCTCAGGGCTACCATTACTAGACCCATAAATTAAAATATATAAATATAAATAGAAGCTTAACAAGCTTAGAAGAAAGCCACTGTCGCCTTGGAATTAGCACTGAGTGGAATCTTGCCATCTTAGGAGTTTTGTTGTAGGTTATCACGGAGCGTTAGTTCTGCTCTTGTAGATTACATGGACCAGTCACCCTCAGGATGGAGCAGGTGATCAAAATTTATTGAAAGGACTTGCGGAGAAGTGAGGAAGCTCAGGCACCAAGCATGTAGCAATGGAGCGGCCAAGTCTTCTGGAGCATGGGGATGACATTTAGGTCCCCACAGTAACTCCAGCTGTCCCACCTCCGCTTAAGTTTCTTGCTCCTGCTCCAGTCCCTCTGCCATTCTCACGAGTCATCTGCTCTCTATGGCTTCCCATCTCATTCCCATTGGGCCGTGGCCTCCCTTTTCAAGTACCTCTGTTAAATGGCTTCTGCCCCCCACTTTCTCTCTTTCTTTAGATCCCCTGGCTTCTGCATCACTGTTCCCTGTGTGTGTGTGCTGTATTCAGGCTCAGAGAGGGGAGGAAGGGAGATAGAGTGATAGAGAAACAGGAAGAGAGAGAGAGAGAGAGAGATGAATTCATTTAGTTGGTCCGTATCCAGCATCAAGTGTCCCTGTTGGACAGAGATCTCCTGCAAAGGCACCTCGTGACCTCAGGCTAGAAATGGCTATCGTTGCCTCAAGCATCACTCCCTGGCCTAATCAATCCTGGCTGCGGAGGGGTGCTCACAGAGTACAAAGCATAGTGGGCATTTCTAGACACAGTGCTTAAGCAGGACCAGAGACATGGCAGACACTCAACAGTCTGGAGTCTCCTCTCTAGTATCTTGGGTTCCCCATAATGGCTTCCACTGACCTTTCATTCCTATTATTCAGCTTTTCTGTGGACTCCTTAGGGATTTTGGCAACCAATGTAAATTCTATGATCTCAGTCCAACCCAAGAAGGGCTCATTAACCTCAACAGAAAAGCCCACAACTGTCCAGGTGTTATTTCGTGCTAAAAAGGAAGTGAAGATTGAGCACCAGCCAGTTCTTCGCTGTCAGGTAAAACAGCTCAAAGGGAGGATTCACTTGGTGGCAGGATTGTGGGACTCATGTCAAAAAGAAGACTACATGGTCTTCTTTTTGAAGAAGGGTTTGGTCCCCAACTAGCAGGCAGGAGTAGGTCAGGTGGGGGGTGTGCAAAGTCATCAGGAATCGAGAAGTGCCAGACAGGCAATAGAGCCCCTGATTTTGGGGAGCACCAAAGGTGCTGAGCTCAGTCATCAAGTGCAAGAGAAGAGTGGGGAAGTGAAAGAGGAGGTCAAGTTGGTCCACGTTGATCCATGGCTGATACATAGTAAGTTTGATATCAGTATTTGCTAATACTGTTGATGCGATAATATAAAAAAATGAAAGAATGCAATTGGTTTCATGTCAGTGATGAAAACAAAGAATGAAGTAGACCGTCCTGGAAATTCTTCAGCATAGTGGCTGACATCTTCCCAATCATTTTTCCCTTTCTAGATTATTGAGCCCAGTATCACAGAAGGAGGTGAAATCATTGCCAGCATCCCAATTAAGTTTTCTGTGAATGCAGTGTACTCCAAATACAACATCAGCCCCTCCGCCATCATCAACTTTGGGGCTTTGATCTGTGGCACTCGGAAAAGCACCACCTTCACCATAGAAAACCAAGGTGTTACTGACTTCAAGTATGCCCTCTATAGGCTGACCGGGGAGAGCCCCATTCATCAAAAGAAAGCGTAAGACAAGTCTTTACTTAACTCATGCCATTCCCTGGTTAATTAGTGCATTGTGTTTTACAAAGAGCTTTCATATATTTTATCTAAATTCACCCAGTCCCCTTTTGTGGGGTGAGGTCATCTAAGGTTTAGAAATGGCTCGGCTAAGATCAGGCAAGAAATCATCAGTAGATCTCAGTTCTGAACCCGCATCTCTGCCCTCAGATTTCATATGCTTTCTTACTGCTGTCACACACGTGATAGATTTAATTGAACAAATGTAAAGTCTTCCGTGTGGGGTTGTGTCTATTGTCCTGGCGCTTCCAGCATGCTACAGGACTCACAGTAAGTCATTGTCCTATTTATTGTCCTGTAGGATACTGGGGGACTAGTATAACCATGAGCTAAGTCAAAAGAAATCAGAGCTGTGCTTCATGTGGGGGGTGGCAGAAGGTACCCCAGAAGTGTAGATGAGAGAAGCACACTGCTGCCTTCCATCTACTGGGCCTGCTTTCACCTCCACATGAAGACACTGTCACAACAGCTCACTTAGTTGTTCCAATGGCAAAATTCTGTATTCTTCACAAGGCAGCTCTTAATCAATTCACTAAAATAATTTACCTTTTTCAGTGCTTTTGGCGGTCATATTCTTTTTTGGCAAATTAGGGATAGTTTTACCAGTTCCCAAGTCTCCTTGTCCTGACTAATTGACTCCCTAATTAATTAATTAATTAATTAATTAATTTAAAATTGACTTCCAGTTAATTGTTTCAAATCAGAAATACCTTGTTTGTAATTGTTTTGCATTTTTGTAGATATTCTCTTCCATTGTGGCTAAGTTTGAATCTATTAAGAAATTTTGGGTTAAGCTATCTAAAATCTCTTTTGGAAAAGAGAAAAAAAAAAAGGGCTTTTTTCTCAGTGGCTTTTATAATAAAGGTTGGTGAATGATTCTTGCTTATTAATACTAATATTTGCTTCACACACAAAAAAAAATAATAAAGTCTCTTCCAAATTTAATTTCAACTTAATTTATTCACTTTTTTAGCATTTATTTTATAATAATTTAATAGTGTTTATAGACATTATGATGTATTTGTGTTTGCTTTAAATTGTTTTTAATTATAATTTGTTTTTTATCTTAGTGTGTACAAATTAATGCAAAATATTAAAAGGGGGTTGAACTTTTTAGTTGTTCTGGTCATTAAGCAAGTAAATGCTGAACTATATAAAACTCTCAAAAGTTTAAGATTGCACCTCAAATGCATTTGACATGGTAGGTTAACTGGCCTCTAGACAAACTAATTATTGGGTAAACGAGCTTCAAGTGAAGTAAACAGCTACCAGAACCTATGTTTGAGCTATTGCTTAAACTCAGTTTGAAAACACCATGACTATAAATGTGAAGAAAAGGGACAGAATTTAAATTTATTTGACATTTCATTTTTTAAAGTAAGATCAGGTTAAAGATTTTTCTGCAGATGATTTTCTATAAATAATTTTCACACACTGCTTTCCAGAGAACTCAAGTAAACACTTATACATTATTGTTTTCTTGCAGTAATTTTCAGTGTCCTTATGAATCATATTTAATAAGTCCAATGACTACATAGTTTTTGTACAATTGTTAAATGAGGTTGGCTAATGATAAATAAGCTGACTTTCCCAGATGCCCCCTTGGCTATCTCCCCCATTCCTAAGAGAAGAGACCATACAATTAGCTGACAGATGGTATTTAATGTCACCACCCCAACCTGAGGGTGTACTCTTGCTTCTTTAATCAGAGTCAGCCATGTTAGACATGCAAGATCCCGGGAAAGCGAGAACTTCTACAAAGCTAGCCCTTCCAAAGCAGCTAAGTTCTCTGATGCTGTTCAGAAAGAAGTAAACATCACAAACCAGGTGAGCACCCTTTTCCTTCTCAAAGGAACCCTGTAAGGCCACCTTCCAACTAGTTCCCTCCTGCCTAGTTCTTGCAACAGATACCTCCCTAGGCTAACAGGATCTGAACCTACTGTGACAGGAATACTAGTTCTGTTGAAATATCACTTTCATTTTCAGGCAAGGCGTTGACTTTTAATTTGGAGATCCTCTTCTGTTTTAAAACCTTCATTTGCTCTCATTGCCTTAAAATTAAGTTTCAGCTCTTCATATATATTTTAATCAAGAATCATTTGTTTATAAGAAACAAAGCCCATTTGGACTGGCTTAAATAAGAGCAGATTTTAAAATTTCTGCTCTAGTAAGATGAAGTAGATATACCTTTCTTTATTCTGCCCAACTAAGGACAAATAAAAACCCTGCACATCACGTGCAAAACAAATGTTAGAAGCCTAAAAGGTAGGGAGAAAAAAAATCAGACCAGCTGGGGTCCTTGGGACCAATGAACATCACAATGGTGAGTTCCCTGAGTTTCCTTTTTGCTTCATAGATCTAAAACTGGGTGCTAAAGGAGCCAGCAACCGAGAAACATCAATAGACGGAGACCAAAAAAAAAAGCCCCCAAAAAGCCTGCTCCTACTAGCCAAAGGACCAGGAAAAGAGGAGCCTAGCAAGATAGAAAACTTTCAGATAAGAACTATTCTATTACAGTCAAATGCAACAGGAAAATCTTTGTGGCCCTACCCAATCCCTGCTAGCAAAGGCCATTGGGGAGTCTAGATTTATACTCTATCCAAGCTGTCATGAGGTGCCCCAACCCCCTGTTGTGTTCAAGAATGCCCAGTAGGGAGCTAGAGCTTTCATTATCCCCTCCCACCTCCATCATTGTCAATGAAGCCACCACGTGGGAAGCCTTGACTTCCACCCCAAACCAATGGTAATGAGATGTCCCTCCCTCCCCCACAATGGGCCTCCCTACCCTAAGGCACCAGCAGAACAGCAGCAAGGCACTCTACCCCTCCCCACCAGGGAGGTATCTGTCTAGGACTAGTGGGCAACAGGAACTGCCACCCCTGTCAGGCAGTTGTGAGAAGTCCAAGTGGGAAATCAGGACCACCACCCCCACCTGGCAGCAATGAGGCAGTGCTCCCATGTCCCTTGCCAGAGCAGTGTCAGAGCAGGCCCGCTCAAACAGAAGATTTAAATAAGATCCAGAGTCTCATAATAGCTAAAATTCCCAGGTTTCGAATCAAAATCATGCATCATACCAAAAACTGGGAAGACCTCAAACTGGAAAAAGACAGACAATAGGTGTCAGCATTGATATAACTGTTAGAATTACTGACAAAGATCAGACAGCAGCCAACATAAAAATGCTTCAAAGAGCAATCACAAACATGCTTGGAACTAGTGAAAACGTAGTTAGTTCTCAGCAAAGCAAGAGAAGATATAAAGAACCAAATGGAAATTTTGGAAGTGAAAAAATAACCAAAAGTTAACTCAGTTGGTGAGGTCAACAAGAGAATGAAGGGGACAGAGGAAAGAACTCATGAACTTGAAGACAGAACAATAGAAATTGCTCTCTCTCTTTCCTATTGCTCTCATAACAAATTACCTCAAATGTAGTGGCTTAGGACAACACAAAGTTTTTAGCTTCTACTTCTGTAGGTCAGAAGCTTGACCTAGGTCTCACTGGGCTAACACCAAGGTATTGGCAAAGCTGTATTCTTTTCTGGAGACTTTGGAGAGAATCCACTTCATTACCTTTTCTAGCTTCTAGAGGACACCTGTCTTACTCGGTTCATGATTTCCTTCCTCCATCCACAAAACCAGCCATGGTGGATCAAGTTCTTCTCACATCACATGACTCCAGCCTTTTCCATAGTCACGTCCCCCTCTAACTTTCTTAGGCCTGCTTCTTCCATATATAAGGACCCTTGTGATCACACTGGTTTCAGGGTAATACAGGATAATCTCCCCATCTCAAGGTTCTTAATTTAGTCATATCAAAAAAGTTTGTTTCCATGTAAGGTAACATATTCACAGGTTCCAGGGATTAGGATGTGGACATCTTTGGGAAGCCCTTATTCTCCCCAATCTAAACGAGAGAGAAAATAAACTCTGAGTTCTATTGGAAAAATCTATTTGAGTCTAATGAATAAAAAAATGAACAGACCCTGAGGGACCTGTGGAAAAAATTTAATATCCTTGTCATCAGAGTTCCAGAAAGAGGTAAGAAATAGGGTTGGGCTGGGCCACCTGGCTGGCTAAGTTGGTAGAGAGTGTTCTCATGTGACTCTTGATCTCTGGGTCGTGAGTTTGAGCCCCACGTTGAGGGTAGAGAGTATAAATAAATAAACTTTAAAAAAATAAAAGAAGGGCGCCTGGGTGGCTCAGTCGTTAAGCGTCTGCCTTCGGCTCAGGTCATGATCCCAGGGTCCTGGGATCGAGTCCCACTTCGGGCTCCCTGCTCTGCGGGAAGCCTGCTTCTCCCTTTCCCACTCCCCCTGCTTGTGTTCCTGCTCTCGCTATGTCTCTCTCTGTCAAAAAAATAAATAAAATCTTTAAAAAAAAAGAAAAAAGAAATAGGGTTGGGCTGAAAAGGTACTCAAAGATATGATGACTGAAAGCTTCCCAAATTTAGCAGAAGATGTAAACCTATAGATTCAAGAATCAGGGCAATCCCAAATAGGACAAATCTAAATAAATCCAAACCCACACACATCATAGTCAGACTTCTAAACACTAAAGACAAAAAATCTTAAAACCAGTGAAAGAGGAAAGACACCCTACATATCGGAAGGAAACTATTTGAATGACAGCAGATTTCTTATCAAAAACCATAGGGCCAGAAGAAAGTGTCTCAACATTTTGCAAGTGCAGGAAGCAGATAACTGTGAATCCCAAATCTTACATACACCAAAAATATGCCTCAGAAATAAATGGACAAATAAAACATTCTCGAATGAAGGAAAAGTAATTTGTTACCAGCAGGTCTCTCCTAAAAGACTGGCTAAAGGAAGTTTCTCTGAACAAAAAGTAAATAATAAAAGAAGGAATTATGGGGGCAGCTGCCTGGCTCAATCAGTAGAGCATGTGTGACTCTTGATCTCAGGGTCATGAGTTCAAGCCCCACGTTGGGGGTAGAGATTTCTTGAAAAAAAATCTTGGGTGGCTCAGTCATTTAAGCATCCAACTCTTGATTTTGTTTCAGGTCATGATCCCAGGGTTGTGAGATGGAGCCCCACTTTGAGCTCCACACTCAGCGGGAAGTCTGCTTGAGATTCTGTCTCTCCTCTTTCTGCCCCTCCCCCTCACCCCCTCAAATAAATAAATCTTTTTTTAAATCTTTAAAAAAAAAGAAGGAATTATGAAACATCAAGAAGGAAGTAAAAACATGGCAGGCAGTTATGTGTGTAAATTCAATAGACTTCCCTTCTCTTCGAGTTTTCTAAATAAGGTTTATCAATTAAAGCAAACATAACACTAATATGATTCTAAATGGATGTAGAAGAAATATTTTCGGCAGAGGGTAAATAAGCAATTGATCAACAACATGGTAAATACTATAATTGAGGTGTGTGTGGATGGAGAAGCTCCAGAAAGGTGAAGGAATGAGGTCCTACTGTTCCTGGTAACTGTTAAAAGTCATTGAAGGCTTCATAGAGGAGGAAGACTTGCTTGTGTATTAGGATTGTGTTTAGCTACAAGTAACAGAAAATCCAATATTAGTGGTCTAAACAGATAAGTTATGGGGTTTTTTACTTTCTTTTTTTATTAGTTTAAGGGTAGAATTTAGTAATTCATCAGTTGCATATAACACCCAGTGCTCATTACATCAAGTGCCCTCCTTAATGCCCATCACCCAGTTACCGCATCCCCCTACCCACCTCCCCTCCAGCAACCTTCAGTTTGTTTTCTAGAGTTAAGAGTCTCTTATAGTTCGCCTAAGATATAAGGTAGGCCGTTGCTTGTGTTGGCTTAGAGGCTTATTGAAGTCTGTGTGAGTCTCTTGACTTTTCCTCATGGTTCCAAGATGGCAGCTGCAGCTCCAGCTACCACATGAGCATTGAAGGCAAAAAGAAGAGAAAGTAGATACTCTGCACTCTCTGGACATCAATAATTATTGACTGCATTTGGACTGAATTTTCTACATGTTGGTTTTTATGTCTTCTCAAGTATTTTCTTCTTCAACAGAAGCCTTCTATTTAATTAACATACATCATTTTCTACATATGTTTCTATAACTCTCATCCCTTCTAATATATGTATGTTTGGGTTTGGGGGGGGGGTTTCATTTTTGCTTGTTTTGCCTTCTTCAGTGAAGCAGCCTCTCTTTAACACCCTACCTTTCAGTTCCAATGACCTTGTCTGCTCTCCCACCTTGGCACTTCGCTCTCAAGGTCACACCCTGGATCTTGCATCAAAGGGAACTGAGGTGTTTCTGAACTCTTGATTTCTAAGATTCCTTTCACTGACCACCATTCCTTTCTCCCTACTTGTTGTTTTGAGTCCACCCTTTCCAGCTGTTCTTTGACTTCAGTGTGACTTTGCTCCTTTAGACAACATTCAACCATATTCTTATTATCCAAACCTTCTCCTTGTCACCAATTTATATTCCCACCAGCAGTGCACAGTAATAATTTTGACACCAGCCATTCAAATAGGTATGAGATGGTATCTCGTTGTGATGTTGATTTGCACCTCCCTGATTGATTAAGGTGATCAACTTTGTTGATATGATTTTATTAAGAACCTTGAGATGGGGGGAGATTGTCCTGGATTATCCTCAGCCCAATGTGATCACAAGGATCTGGGAGTGGTTGGGGGAATGGGGAGATGTTGGTCAAAGGGTATAAACTTCCAGTTACAAGATGAATAAGTTCTCGGGATCTAATATTTGCATGGTGACTCTAGTTAACAGTACTATATTATATCCTTGAAAGTTGCTGAGAGAGTAGATCATAAACATTCTCATCACCCAAAAAAACGGTAATTATGTGAGCTGATTGATAGATGTTAACTAACCTTATTGTGGTAATCATTTTGTGGTATATTCCAGTATCAAATCAGCACATTGTAGCCTTAAACTTATACAATGTCTTATGTCAATTACATGTCAATGAAGCTGGGTGTGGGGGGAAGAAGAGGAAGGAAGCTCCTAGGAACCAGAGGAGTGCATGATAATATCCCATTTTTTGAGCACTAATTCTGTGCCAGAGGCTATGTGAAGTGTCTCACACACATTTTTTCCTTTGAAGCCTCCAGTGATTCAAGGTAGGGGGTTTAGCCCCATTTCATGGATAAACTGAGACTCAGAGAAGTCACTTGTCCAAGGTCAAACAGTTAAAATATAGCAGGGATGGGATTCAAACTCATGAGTATCTGACTCCGAAATCTACAACCTCTACCAGAGCTCTGTCTGCACCCCTCTGCCAGGAGATTCCCATCTGGGTAAGAGTTGTGTGATGTGGAATATGTCTGTTTCCTTCAGCTCCCATTCAGTCACAGTCGGTCAGAAGAAATGTGCAGAGAAGGAAGAACTGAGGGAGCCCATCCCTGAAGATTCCCCAGGCCCTCCCTGCCTCCAGGAGAAAGCTGGGGCTTAGAGAGCGCCTGTGGAGAGAGGCCCCGTGGGCCCCTATCAACACCATCTCACAACTCCAGTGGAAGGGCTCAGGCTCTGTCACTCACTCTGCCTCCTCCCCTTCCTGCAGGTGCGCTTCACCCACGGCATGTTCACCGTGTACCCTGGGTTTGGCTCCATCCCCTCCGGAGGAACGCAGGTCATCACTGTCGACTGCGTGGCTGACCCCGTGGGAAGGTGTGAGGAATTCATAGCGATCGATATATCTGACCGAGACCCAAGAGACCAGCCTGCGGGCATTCCTTACAGCTTGCTGGCCGAAGCCTGTCTACCAGGTACCGGGCACTCAGATTGGACAGCACCCTCCCCTTAAAAGACCCTCCCCCTCCCACCATGCACATGTTGAGCAGATACGGCTGCACTACTTCCTTTGGGTCCTTAGAACTTCCTCTAGCGTCTTCAGCCATATTTTTCCTTAAAGACTTACCAGGCATCTATACCTAAAAGATGTGCAGCTTTAAGCTCCTAGTCTTCCTGAGTTTGGTCCAGGATTCTCAGACAAATAGTATTATCTGGGAATCATGGTGTAATGGGATATGGCACAGGACCCAGGAACACTGAATCCGGCCATTCCCTGTGGGCAACGTATGCACAGAGAGCAATGGTCAGTGACTGTGCATACTCTAACTTTAATTAAGCAAGATTCAGGTAAAGCGCAGAGAGAACTCCTCTTGCTTTGACTATAGGCAGCATACAGCCTCGCACCAACATGGGCCAAATGCCCCCTTCCTTCCTAAGCCCACCCCAGATCCCGGATCTAACCTCTCCTTACTGCTGGGAGGAACATATGGTTGGGGTCTGACAACCAACAAGAGCAGTACAGAAAAGGAAGAGAAGATAGAATTTGTACCATCACTCCCACCCGCTTGTGTGAATTCCCCTACACCTCCTCTACAACCATCCTCCGTCAGAATCCAAATCTTCACATTAGCAATTACAGAAAGCAGGAACTGGGCTATCAGGCCTCGTCTCTCATTCTCCCCAGCCTTTGTGACTGACAACAATGCCTTGATATTTGAAGAGCACCAGATTTGTAGCAGCACCACTCTGCTCAACATCCTACAGACCATAGAGAATGGGGGGCTCTTTGTGGAGGATGAAAACAAGTTCATCTTCTGTAACGTCCTGGTGGGTCATCAGGCCAAGGCTCGGTTCAAGATCAGCAACGTGGGAAAGATTGCCTGTGATGTGAACATCGTAGTTAAGCCCATCTCCAACAAGGTAAGCAGCCCCAAATGGCCCTAGCCCACTGTGGTTGGCATGAATCCTTGGAAAGAGCTCTTAGAAAACCTGCTCTAGCACTGCTAGACCTGAGTGAGGATTATCTGGCTCTCAGGCCCTGCTGGAAGTCACATGAGGTCACTGGGTGGTTTCCCCTAGGCCAAGAGCCAGACATTTGTCCCAGTGGGTGCCTCCTCTTGGTTTTAAAGTGATACACAGCAATGAGCAACTCGCTCATCCATCAAACACTCAGGTAGGCATGGAATAGATGAAGCATGGTGGGGTGAGCCAAAGGCAAGTGCCATCTCAGGCAGGCTGCCTCGTGTTGCCCATCTTTCTGGTAAGGAGGATTTGGGGGATGTCAGATTACAAGGGCAAGGAGAAACGATGAACATTTACTGACCCCGGCTGCATGCTAGGCACTGTGTTAAATTATTTACATATATTACCTCAGTTCATCCTCACAGAAAGTTTGTATGATCAGACTTTGTAGTACTCTCCTCATCTTACAGTTAGGGAAATGAAGCCTAGGGATACAGGGCTACATTTAAAGCCAAGCTTCATCCACGTACAAGGTAAATAATAAGTGCCCATCTCAAGGCCTATAGGTTCAGAGCTCCCTTCCTCTCCAAGTCAGACCACACTGAAATCCTTTTTCCTCACAATGGAACAGAAAATTCAGGATACCAAGAGAGAGGGCTCAGTCAATAGCCTATCAGATGCGCTGCAAATACGGCCTAGTCTCACTGCGGCTTCTTTCGTCCTCTGCCCAAAGGGGGAATCTTAGCTCCCACTCCCACTTAGCTGACATTGTTCACGTGGCCGATGGTGGCAGGGAGACCACTGCAGGGGTGGCCTAGTCTAGAGCTTCGGGGGGGGGAGAGAGAGAGAGAGAGAGAGAGAGAGAGAGTGTGTGTGTGTGTGTGTGTGTGTGTGTGTGTGTGTGTGTGTGTGTTCCCAGGGGACTGTCACCACAGAAGGGTAGGGTTGGAAGACTATCTCATCCCTTTTATGACTTCTCTCAGGCCCTGGTGACATCCAGGCATTACTCTCTGACCTTTTTCTGGACCTCACGGGGCAGCTTTCTTCCTGTTCTGCACTAAAAACATAAAAAGGGAGCAAGCCTGATTTCTCAAAGATAGGTTTTTACCAGGGGATTTGTAGATATATATTTTTTCTTCCTCCCTAATTTGCAGACTGTCCTTTGAAAAGAGCAAAGAAACCTTAGTGCCCTCTGCTTAAAAACAAGAGGGGATAGCCAGTCTTGAATCCCACTTGCCACCCTTAAGAATGAAAAAACCCTTTTGAGGCCTTGCTGGGGTCCCTACAGTCCCTACAGTCTTCCCAAAACACTGCCACAAAATGGGGACAGATAAAGTGCTAACACACCCTAATCCCTGCTCTCCCTCCCCAGCTTATTGCCCGAATCACTGATATTTTTGACGTGGAACCTAATAAGATGTGTGTTGCCAGCCGCTCACATGCCTTTGCCACGGTGACGTTCACCCCACAGACCATGCAGACCTACCAGTGTATCTTCGAGGCTACGTTGGATGGCTTGCCTAGGTACCAGCCCCCTCTCCTGCAGGCTGAGGATGGAATGTCATTCCTGGCACACCAGGCTGACAGGCCTCCATCGTCCTGTTCCCTGCAGCAACCTGACCAGGAACCGAAGCCTTGTGTTTGACATCGTTGGGGAAGGGAACCTCCCTCGGGTGACCATAGTGCGGCCAGTTCTCTGCAACCAATATGGAAACCCCTTGCTCCTCTTCAGGAGGCTTCTGCTTGGTCAGTCAGAGAAGCTGCCTCTCATCCTCAAGAACAATGGCACCATCCCCGCCCAGGTACTGCGAGAGGTGAAGTATGGGATGGAAAGGGAGAAGAATGACTCAGAAGTAAGACTTTTAACATTGAGGTCTCTGCCATCCCTGATCTACTAGGATTTCTCTGATGTTCCTCATACATTAACCTGTGTAAGACGTGGGACACGCAGAGCTGAGTCAGCCATAGTGTCTGCCCTCAAGGAGTATAAGAAAGCAGATTACACACTCACTGATAGTTACTATGTGAAGCAGTGTGCAGGGATGTACCCTGAGCTGAGTGGGGAGGACTATGGGTATTCTTGGTGTCTTCTTTATCCTTCCCTCTTTTCTGTAACGAACACTGCATTTTTAATAAGGAAGAAACAAAAGAAACCTCAGTAGGAGTGAGAGATGCCACATCTCAAGGGACTCTTGGTTCAGCAATTAAATAGTGTTTTTATTTTTTTTTTCTGTTAACATCCTTATTTTACCAAAAAAAAAAAAAGAAAGAAAGTAATAAATTGTGTAAGGGTTCTACAAAGAACTGTAGGACTTTTGAAAATGATCTACTCCCATCTAGGGGAATCAAGGAAAATTTCACTATAAAATGACATGGAAGCTGGGCATTGCAGGACAACTGGGTTTCAGGAAGGGGGCATGGCACTGAGTGCATCCCAGCTGGAGAAAGAAAACTATTCAGACAAAGGCACAGAAGCAAAAAATGTGTCCAGTACAAAACAGGAACTAGTAAGCACCCAGCTCCGTGAGAGCACAGGGGATAGAAGAGCAGCGGGAGATAAAAATAGAAGGGTAGAGTAAGGACAACTCGCGGGAGGCTTTGGATTCTCTCTACATTTTAAACCCTACAACATGTTCTTACTGTCTTGTTGGGGTTTTTTTTTTTAAGATTATTTATTTATTTGAGAGAGAGAAAGCGAGAGAGCCCGAGCAGGGACAGAGGGGCAGAGGCAGAGGGAGAAGGAGACTCCCTGCTGACCAGGGAGCCCGATTTGGGACTCGAACCTAAGACCCCGGGATCATGACCTGAACCGAGAGGAGACGCTCAACCGACTGAGCCACCCAGGCGCCCCTCACTGTTGGGTTTTGTTGTTCATAGTTAAGGCTCATTTAGATTGACCCACAGACCTATCATTTTTATTGCACTTCACTCCTCCATATCCATCTGTCCATCTGAGATCCTTTGCCTACCCCCTGAAGAATAGCATGTACTATTTCCTCAGTGCAGGTCTGCTGGTGGCAAATTCTCTCAGCTTGTATTTGAAAAATCTCCATTTCGGGCGCCTGGGTGGCTCAGTCGTTAAGCGTCTGCCTTCGGCTCAGGTCATGATTCCAGCGTCCTAGGATCGAGTTCCGTGTCGGGCTCCCTACTCGGTGGGGAGCCTGCTTCTCCCTGTGACCCTCCTCCCTCTCATGCTCTCTGTCTCTCATTCTCTCTCTCGCAAATAAATAAAATCTTTAAAAAAAAAAAAAAAGAAAAATCTCCATTTCTTTTTTTTTTCATTTTATTATGTTAATCACCATACATTACATCATTAGTTTTTGATGTAGTGTTCCATTATTCATTGTTTGCGTATAACACCCAGTGCTCCATGCAGAATGTGCCCTCCTCAGTACCCATCCCCAGGCTAACCCATCCCCCCACCCCCTCCCCTCTAGAACCCTCAGTTTGTTTCTCAGAGTCCATAGTCTCTCATGGTTCGTCTCCCCCTCCGATTCCCCCCCTTCATTTTTCCCTTCCTGCTATCTTCTTTTTTTTTTTTTTAACAAATAATGTATTATTTGTTTCAGAGGTACAGGTCTGCGATTTCAATGTCATTTTTATTGGCTATAGACCTCTCAGCTGGCAGTTGTTCTCTCTCGGCAAATGAGAGCTTTCATCCCAGTGTGTTCTGGTGTCCGCTGTCGCTGCTGAGACGTCAGCTATGTCTACCATGTTCTCTTAAGGTGATCTTTGTCCTCTGACTTTCTTTGTTTAACACTTTCACTTTGTGTTCGTCTTCTGTGGTTTCGTTATGATGTGCCTAGGTATGGATTTCTTTGCATTTATCCCTCTTGGAATTCACCAGGCTTCTTGATTCTGCAATTGATGTCTTCAGTCACTTTTGGAAAATTCCAAACATGTCTTGAAATAGTGCTCCTATTCCATTCTGTCTCATCTCTCCTTCTGGGAGGCCAATTCAGTGTGTGGAAGACCTTCCCCCGTTCCCTCTCTGTCTCACCACTCACTGCATTTTCCATCCATTTTTCTCTGGGCTCCATTCTGCATAATTTCTTGGGGCCTATCTTCAGCTCATTAACTTTCCCTTTAGCTCTATCTAATCTGTTATTAAACCTTCCATTGAGTTCTTAAGTTACTACATTTTTCAGTTCTAGAAGTTCTATTAGGCACCTTTTCAAACACACATCATCAGTTTTTAAGATTTCTGGTTTTGTGATAAAATTGTCAGACTTGGCTTTATTTCTTGAACATAGTAATCGCAACCATTTTGACATCTATACCTGGTCATTCCAAAATCTGGATTTCCTGTGGGTCTTTTTCTGATATCTGCTATTTCTGCTCATTTTTGCCATGTTGTCCTTTCTCCTCGTGTGCCTGGTTATCTTCAATCCTGTGTTGAGTATTATACTTGAAGAATTATTTAGAAATAACACTAAGGATGATGTTCTTTTTCTTTAGAGACAATTTTCATTTGCTTCTGCCAAGTACTTTGGGACATTTAGAAACTAAGGATCATCTAAAATTAGTTTTAGGGCTTGATATTTCCTGGATATGACTCGGAGCAGGATTTCTACCCTTGGGGGAGCTGGGTTTGGTCCTCTCAGCAGGTCCTTTGGGGAAGGCAGACGCTGAACGACTGAGCCACCTAGGCACCCCAAGAATTTCTACTTTTAGAGTATGTAGGCTCTCAGGAGCAACATTTAGAATTCCCATCCATTTACCTAGATTTTTTTATTATGTCAATTTTTTTCATATGACTCTTCCATATAGTTTCTTACTAAGATTGTTTCTAAACATATAATTATTTTTTATGTCAGAAGCTTCCTATGTAGTATCACTATTTCTTTCTTCTTTTGGCCTCATTTCTTATATTGTTCAATTGTATTTATGATGGTACTAGCATGACTATCTTCTAAAACTGTCTGCTGATTTCTCATACCTAAAATCAGATATATGGCTTTAGTTTTTGCATCAGCTATGGTGGTCCAGAAAACATCCCTTTTCTCCACCCAAGCCAGAATCCCACTTTGGTTTTCTTTTTAACTCAGCAAGCTGCTCAATATGACGTTATCAGGCAACTGATGCATTACCACCTAGGAGATACTGGTTTTTAGGAACTCATATTTATGTAAGCCTTTATAGCATGATGAGTATTCATTTCCATTTTATTAGTCTAGAGTATATTTTACAGCTGCCTCTGTCAATAGCAGAGGCCTTGGCAAGCCCATTTTGACACTACGTTGCTGGGTGATCTGGAAAGTCACCTCTACTCTCTGGACCTCCAGTTCCTTACTTGGATAATAAGGGCTGAACTAAACCTTCACTTTCCTCCCCAGGTCTAATGTTTATTTTATTCAATTCAAAAAAGTGAGCACTGGGCACAATGACTTTTTGGGTACTTCCCAAACAGCACCGTATCTCAATCTTGACTCAATCTAGACTCAAAACCCATGAACAGCCTGTAAGCTTAACACTCGACCTTGCTTTCCTTCTGCCAGCTGCATGTTGATCTGAGGGACCAACTAGGCGTCTTCTCCCTGAAAGGGACCCTCACCACATCCTACATCTATATCACAGAGGAGAACAAACCACATGCAAAAGGTAGGTAGGGAGAGTATAGCTTCTAGAGGGTGATGGGTCCCAGGAGCTGTTGTATTAGGGAACTAATAAGGACCCAGCCAGATTAGGATGTCCGGTCTCATCACCAATGGCCTCTCTAGGTAAGGCTCATTCCCACACTAAGGCTGCCCTCCCTTGAGTCAGGATCTTTTTGGTTACATCTTCCTGGTTCTAAATCTCATGTCTCTCTCTTCTCTTTGCAGCAAAGAAAGCTCACACGGCCTCCCTGGTTGTTCCTCCTGGAAACACAGCTGGATTCGATGTCGTCTTCCAATCCCAGAAGGTTGGGAGAATGGCAGGCACCATCCACTTGTCAGTGATCAACAACCAGTATGAGGAGACAATCATCCACATGGTGGGAGAGGGTTACGAGGATGACATCACCTTGGGCAACATCCATGGGCTGGTGGTTTCCAGCAGCCCTGAGGCCCCAGAGATCTCTGAGATCATTGAGGAAAATACTATGGAAGACTTGGTAGCAGGTGAGAGAAACATGAGTGAGGTATTGACAACTATTGGCTCAGGTCGTTTTAAATAAGAGTGAAATTTAAATAACAGCTCAGCCAGCTTCCTAGGAATTTAGGAAAGCATCTCCTCTTCCAAACTGTATGCCCTGTCATTCATGGCTCAGACAATGCCTTAAATCATGTGTTCCCTCAAGGAACATTTATTGAGCATCAGTATGCATGTACCAAGCACTATGCTGAACCCTGGAGTTGCAAAGAGTAAGAAGAGAGTCTCTGCCTTGGGGAGCTTATAGTTTTAGCTAATTCCAGTTTAGCTAACAAGTGAAACTCAAAATTCAAATTCCAGATTAGCTAAGTGAGCATGTATCTCTCTAGTTTTCCCCATGTCTTTCAGCTGGCTTGTATCGGCATTGTCTCTTTCATGGGAACCATGTATCCTAGACATTCCAAGAGAAACCGTGGGCTTCTTTAATTAAAGAAGGCATAGGTTTGTGCCACCTCTAGAACCTCATCCTCTATAGCCTCCCTACTCAGTGCAGTGTCTGAGGACCCACAGCCTTAGCAGCACCCGGGAGCTTGTTAGAAATGGGAATGGCAAAGCCCACCCCAGCACCTCAGGCCTACTGAACCCGAGTCTGAATTTTAGCAAGATCCCTCGGTGACTTGTATGTATATTAAAGCTTGAGATGTGCTCCTCTGCGGTCCCCCAAGCATGCAGCTTCATTTGGTTGAATATATTCTTCGGGGTAGGAGAAAATTTATTTTATCATTATTATCAAAAAGCACTTGTTGGGCGCCTGGGTGGCTCAGTCATTAAGCGTCTGCCTTCGGCTCAGGTCATGATCCCAGGGTCCCGGGATCGAGCCCCGCATCAGGCTCCCTGCTCCGCGGGAAGCCTGCTTCTCCCTCTCCCACTCCCCCTGCTTGTGTTCCCTCTCTCGCTGTGTCTCTCTCTGTCAAATAAATAAATAAATCTTTAAAAAAAAAAAAAAGCACTTGTTAAGCACCCTAATATGTAGCTAATTGGTATGAAGTGAGTTATAAACACATTATCATTTTTCTAGGAGCCTTATTATAATGCTATAATGTAGCATTGGACAGTCTATATGACATGGCTTAAAATCAACACTCCTCATATATATGGTGTTTCATCCCTGTTTGTGGCTACCAGGTGACATCTCTCTTGTCAGGGGTCACGCAGAAGCCAGCATTGAATCCTAGTTCAGAAATCAGATTCCAGGGGCACCTGGGTGGCTCAGTCATTAACCGTCTGCCTTCGGCTCAGGTCATGATCCCAGGGTCCTGGGATCGAGCCCCACATCAGCCTCCCTGCTCCGCAGGGAGTCTGCTTCTTCCTCTCCCACTCCCCCTTCTTGTGTTCCCTCTCTCACTGTGTCTTTCTCTGTCAAATAAATAAATAAAATCGTAAAAAAAAAAAAAAAGAAAGAAATCAGATTTCATACTTATAATAGGGTTACCAGGTTTAGAAAATCAGGATGCAGGAGTCCCTGTTAAATTTGAATTTCGGATTTAAAAAAAAAAAGAGTCTTTTTATTATTTGTGTGTCCCAAAATATTGTATGGGACATACTGATACTAAAAATTACTCATCAATTATCTGTGATTCGAGTTTAACAAGGACTTTTGTATTTCATCTTATTTTAACACTTAATAGTATTTTTTCAGCAAACAAATGGAGTTGGGGACCTATATTTTCTCTTGGACATGAGGGCCAAGGTGGATGGCTAGATGGTTGGACGGATGAACAGGTAGACAAATAGATTTCGTAAGGAGGGAAAGCTTAAGCTAAGGACTCCAAATTTTTCCAAAATAATCATCAAAGGAGGGAGGGATGCATGAGGGTGAGGCCCCATGTCTTTCAGGTGCTGCCTCCTCAGGGAAGTGAGCCTTAGGAGGGGGCCAGGGAGGACTCACGGATCTTCTGCTTCTGTCCACAGCTGCACTGGTGGACCACATCCAGTTTGGGGACTGCCACATTGGAAACAGCTATAACGTGAGCTTCACAATCACAAACCACAGCCAAGTGAACGTGATACGGTTTGAATGGCCCCCTGTAGCTACAGTTTCCTTTTCCCCACAGGTAAGTGAAAGCCATTCACCCTTTTCAGGACTTCCTTAGGCATAAGCCAACCCTAATTTGATTGTCTGTCTGTTCCCATGAATACATGGAATGGGATGGATGGCTCTCAAGCTGAGACAGCCCAAGAACCATCCCTTACTCAGACCAGGTGCCAGAGGATACTGTTCATATCTCCTCTGGTCTAAGAACAGAGAATAAGTTCTGCCGAGATGGTTGCTAGGCTGATGTTGAGGAATTCCATGGAAGCCTGCATGGATGAAGACAGGTCGCAGTCTTCCCATCCCAGAGTGCAGACCTGTGTCCCCCAAGGTGTGTGTTCGTTAGAGCATTAGTCCTGCAAATGTGGTTCACTAAAAGCTAAAATGGGTGTAGTGGGTTCTGTGGACAACTGAGATTTAGCAAATTTGCATATGACATCTTTCTCTTAGAGGTGCCCAGTGCCATGCAACATACTAAAACCTAGTTACCTTTGTTTTACCTGGAATTTTCTGACCCCTTCTTTTAGCATCTCACAGGACACGTTTTATGAATTGCTGACCAAAGCTCAATGTCACACAAGGCCTAAAACAATGTGGTAGCAGATCTAGTCTCTGGCTAGTTGTTGTTTTTCATAGTTCACTTTTGAGTTCCCAGGACAATGGATATACCCAGATGTATCCACTGTCTCCTGCACTGTTTTGGTCACCAAGTCTGTCAAGCATAGTTAGGGGAAGAGAGCAAGGAGAGTAGGGGACCCCACTTTGTCACCTTTTTTTTTTATTTTTTTAAGTAGACTCCATGCCCAGTGTGGAGCCCAACATAGGGCTTGAACTCACAACCCTGAGATCAAGACTTGAGCTGAGATAAGAGTTGGACACTCAACTGACTGAGCCACCCAGGCACTCCCTTTGTCACTTTTGAATATTTGAGTGCTCTCAGGAAGTTTTGCTTCCTCGAGGGATGTAAAGTGTCAGTCAAATCAGGCAGATAAGCTTCAGATAGTCCATTTAGTGCACCCACGTGCACACACACTAGTGCATATTACCCCCCACCCCGCCACACACAAACATTTGTGGCCTTGGGAAATACTAAGCTTTCTTCTCCCTTCACTTTCCAGTGGATGGAGAGTTTTTAGATCTGTCAGAAACATGATAGGACTACTATATATATATATATGTATATATATATATATATATATATATA